CATAGTGTATACATTTCTGAATGCGAACAGTTATCAACATCTACCAAATCCACACGTCAATACTCATCGTTGAACATTCAACTTTGTTTCATTCAGTTCCGAGTTGTTGTCGTGAAAAGTGAATGACATGGTATGAACGAGTCCTCATTCTCATGAATATGTACATTGAGTAATCACAAAGAATTTTCATTTCACCGACAGCCTTGCTAGTGTCACATAAACCATTGTCGTTGTTTTGATGAAATCGTATTGGTGTTGTTTCTGTTTTATATGCTGAATTCTGTAAACAATGAATTTCCCGATTCACGTCTGCTGACTTACGCCTAACCTGGTATACTGAGTAATATAACTATGGTGTGTGAATATCTTCATCATGGATATTCAGAGAATTTGTTCCCATTTTTTAACAGTCGCTCGTTAAACAAAATCTCAGTTATTTTCTTCTGTAAAATTTATTTCACAAGATAAGAAAGTAACTGAAATATATGTTCCTAAAATACAGATCCGAAGTGGAACACTACCGTTTTTTGAAAATTCAACGTGGATGATGTGTTTTCACATCTTGAGGTGAAATTGTAGCATCCATTCGGATAATAAATGACAGAGAAGTTTTTCTGAAAATGTTCTAATCATCTTACTTTGTAGAGAAACGAATCACTGTAATGCTCGTTAGTGAAATTCCGTAACGTCATATTTGTCATTAACGAAACTTTCAACTTTAAATCAACATCAACCAAACTCGTTGTAGATCGGTATTATCGCCATTCTCATTACACGTACTTTATCTTACAAACATTTTAAAATAGAATGCAACATTTGTGACAGTAATAAGCCCTAATATGTTACGTACGACTGATATTATGGTGTGTTTTCGTAAGGTTGTTCTATGTTACAACATTGTATTATTTATAATTGTCGTGATTTCTGTCTTCTTCTTCCACTCTTTCAGATCCACTTTAATTTATTCGTTTATGACTTATTATTTATCAACATTTCTTCAAAGAATACTATGTTAAACCCTCTTCAAACGTCATCTGTAAGTTCTCCCGTTTTTTTAAAACGTATAGCAAAAGGGATCTAAAATGTAAATCTCTTTTGTAGATTTTAAATTAGTTAACTGGAAAATGATCCATTTGTCTGTCGGTGACTTTTGCATCAGTTGGCTAATTTCCGTGATACAGTCAATCGTTACATATCTGCACTCAAACAACAGGTGCATAATTCTTCATAAATTTAAGGTAGGAATAAGCGTCGTGTTTTCTTGAAGTGATGAAAGATGAAATTGTAAAGAACTTAGATTTACCAGTTGATTACCGACGAAATGGGCACACAAACGTTATGAGAGGTAATCACTGGTTCCGTTTCTATGAATTTGGTGGTAGTTATAAAACAATAGGATCCAGACAAATCTCTGTCAACAGAGTTTTCCCAGCTCAAATGCACGCCTTAAATATATTTTTCGACGTAAAACGGCCACCACAGGTCCATCAGCTAATGCAAAGCCGTGAAGATCGGAAACAAAAGTTCTAAGAGTATCACAACAGGAATCCTAAAGACTATTGAAGCTAAGGAATCCAAAGAGTTCTAAAAGCCTTTAAGTGACTTTATTGCAAATTATCATGTAAAAGAACGTAAGAATCAGGCTTTGTGGAGATCGTTGAGCTTTTAACGAGCAAACAATAGGTGACAGATACCTATGGTGCTTCAGTTGCATGATATCCTTGCCGACATTGATAGATTTATTTTTGGCAAGAAGTCTTCGCAATCTCCAAGGTACAAGATAACTTCTGAAGGTGTCGTGTCAGTTCTGGTGGTGGTCACCGCTATACGTGACTATCCGCTAGCTGATTCATGAAACAATTCGCGGCGATTTATTGGCTTATAAATTTTTATGTACGATTTAACCCTAACTGTGCAACAACATGACAGCCACTGTCGAATGCCTTTGGCGGACATTTTTTGACATTTCATCTTTCAGTTGAAATTAAAAGAGGATCAGGGGACGCTGACCAAGCGCTGGACTAAAAGATGGTGCTAGTTTGGCGAAGGACGGGAATGCAATCATACATCAAGACTGACACATCAAACGTGGCAGTAGGAGATATGTTGTAACAGTTGTTAAACGAAACGTTGGAACCCCATTCACATTTCTCAAAGTGATTAAACGTTATTTAGACTATGAATATCATGTTCTGAAGAGAGTGGCTAGCAATCGCTTAGCAGCAAAATTCAGTTCTTTTTTTAATTGTGCTGTTGGGAATGAATCTATTGAATATTCTAATCTTTTCACTACCCATCCGCCGTGCGTTTTCAGTACTACTCTCTAGATCTCCACAATAGCCGTGAATCAACTTGGAGTTGTCACAGACGATCGTTGAGAATAGATGCTGCAGTAACAAAAGTGTGTTTGAAGACAAATCACATCTGACATTGAGTACATCTTATTGGGAACGTCATGTAGTGTGCAAATGTGTCCCTCATTCGTCAGCAGCAACCACTATTGAAAGGTTATAGTTTAACGAATCGTTCAGCCGTCACATAGCAAGATATTAAATAAAAGCATCAATAATGAAATTCTTGTACATAACAAAATAATACCGATTTCGTGGAGGCGACACTCACAATTATGAAACCGCAACGGGTGGAAAGAGACAATTTGTACCGAGACATGTCATGAGGAACGATGTGTCATAAAGCAAACGATCACCAGAAAACGTGATATCTTAAACAAGAAATTTGTGTAGACTGAGAAAAGACTAATAAAAGCTTTGTTTGAGACTACCCATAAGTGAGTTTGAATGCTTCAAGGTTGCTTTATTTGGTTTGCGCTGTTTTTTTCGGAGAGAATGCATATGATTTAATAAAAAATATTGCAGCCATTCTGGAGCACATTAGAAGTGTTTACGTTCTTTATTTCCACACCTTTTTATAAATTCTGTTTCGCGCTTATTGATTTGAATTTATGAAGACTGGAAGCATGAAGCAGGTCGTTACAATCGATGAGCATCCGTTGTGAATCCGGTCTACATCCCGGATAAAATAAAAGGATTTAACACGTGGTCACCAACTCCATCTTCTCGAAACAAACTGTGTTTCGAAATATCATTTAAACCAAACGTTTTCAGTCCTGTGACTTATACAACGTCTTCATTTGGAAGAATTATGACTCCTCATGGTGAAAGTAGAGATTCTTCGGAAGTCACGGTGATTATGTCGTAGATTGTGTTGAAATGAGAAGGTAAAACACGTCAGTTCTCGGAATAAGTAAAACCCATCGGATACAAGTTGTGCAGGAAAAAATTGGATTCGAGAAATATACTGTTTTACTGTAGTTATGCGTGAAAAGTAAACAATAAGTTCAGCTCTTTTAATAATGACACTTGTGTGTAATAAACTTTGCATTCATCAATACCAATTATCTCTTACTTAGATAAAAGTGAACATTTCAATTCTCAACTAGGCGTAATAATCGCTATACTCTTTTTTGCTGAACATGAACTCTGTCTTTACTCAATACCATTCAGTTGATATTGACTAAAGTTTTTCTCAACCTTGAAGCGTTTGCGAATGTTATTCATATGAAAAACATTAGGTTGCGTGACACTAACGCAGAATAGCCTTATGAAAAACGAACAATAAATAAGCTACATAATACTGAATAAATTTTATTAGCCTTGAAATATTTATTTAACATTTTCATATGAAAAACATTATGTTTCCATTGAAATTAATGTAGAATTGTCTTATGAGAAATTGAAAGTGATTTTATAGGATTAGCTCACTATTCCAATAACTATTGCTTCCGTGGATACAATGAACTGAACCAACATACAAGTATACTTTTATCAAACCCTAGTAAATAAGCTACATAATTGCCTGAACATACTGTAACTATATGTAATTATAACGAATAATATTAATTTGATAATGAGCCAGACATTAGTGGGAAAATTTTATGTATAATTGAAAGCAATTCTGATGTTCATGATTTCGCAAAATTACCGAACAACCGTTTATTCGACTACAGAATATGATACTCGTGGAAGCAATATTTTGGTTACTGTCGACATCTTTTTGCAGCGCAACATTCATCATCACACTGCCAAGAATTACATTTTGCAATTATAACCAAATCATGAGTAGTTTGGGCTTCTGCCGCTGAAATTATTATTCATTTACGAAAGTGTAGACTGTTAATCATTCAACAGTAATTGACTCATTACGTTTAGTTTGAACACATACAGGTCCACTTCTACCTGACTAATAAGAAACGTTTTGTCTATTTTGATCGCTAAATCTATTTAGAGCCAACGGTACAATGTGCCGGTCAAATGGGCTTTTTTGTGACTGTTCGGAAGTTACAATCCCACATTCAACGACGATGCAGTTGTATGACAGGATTTATGTCATTAAACATAGATTCAGATGTAAAAATGCAAATTCAGATGTCTAATCAAGACAGGTTTTGTTACTTGGATTTTAACCTATCAAACCAAAGCAATGCACCATTGGTAGACAGTTCACAAATAATTACAAGTAACAAAATATTTGTTCGTGAAAATATGAGCACACATTTTGACCTACATTAAAAACCCTTCACTTCGTTTAAACTATCGCTAGTCGTATCCAATATTATTTTCACCAATAGAGGCCTTGGAATTTCAACCAATGGTGGCTAAGTTTCAGCCTTTAGAGTACAACAGCTAGAAGTATATTGCACTACGATGAGTTCGTCTTCTACCATAAGTGGTTAAAAATGATCATATGATTTTATGAAACGTGATGTTTCTAATGGTCACTTTGGATCGTCGAATAAGAAAGAAACAAACAAACTTAAAAAATGTATATAAATACGACAAGGTCTAACAACAATTATTACCGTTGGGAACAAGAAGATGAGGTGAGTGTTGACTATGCAGTTTAAGCAAATGAGTGTGTTTTATGAACTTCAATTTGTTTCAATGAAATAAGGCTGTATATTTTTATCTGTACCATTCCAGGCATAGCTTTGCAACTGGCCAGTTTATACTGCTCTATTCCATCATCGTATTAATTTATAAATTCTTCGACTGCCATGACATTTGCACAAAACCTGAATTGAAGCAATATGAAAAAGTAATTTTTGAAAGTGATGCATATAGTTATGTAAGTAATCAGTCCGGTTCCAATACACATATTCAGTCTCATCACTATTATTATTCCCGGATGATCCGCTCTGATCAGTCCCCTCCAATTGTTAGCGGCACGTTTGAAAGACTGGTTGATACTAAAGTGAGTTGACTAAATTTTGCAACGATGTTTCATTCCATATGTTTGCGTATAATCAGGATATCGATGCGAAGTTCCCGTTTACGTTTTACGGTTCTCAAGTCGCCAAATTCAGAATATTAACTACTGGTAAGAGAATGATTTTCATCGAACTAAAATTGTTACCGAGTTTTGTTTATTCACATTTCATTCCGTGTACCAATGTTGATTTAATTTCTTCAGTAAATCAGTTTTTTGCCCTTTGTAGCATTCAGAACATCTACTGATATCTTATTTCGTTCAAGTTGTAAACAGTTTAAAGGCTTACAGAAATTTAATTACGGTCCATGAAACTCATTTTGTCTCCGGTTAATCTAAAAGTCTTTAATTCATTCTCTACAGAATGTCATTTGAATTTCATGTTTTTCATTCGATAAACACAGGTAGAATTGAAATGTACGATAAAGCGTACTCAGGAGTAGTTAGAAATTATGTGAGAAGCGGTTATTATGTGAAAACTGATATTTCGGATAGGCGTGAGTACCTCTATTATCCTGTGATAATTTGTTTTGCCTTTCGTTTCTAACTTTTATTTTGCATAAATGATTCAATATTTGACCTGGTTATTTTTTGAAAGCTGACCAGTAGACAGTGATTAATTTGCTTGTGTGATTTGATGCTGTAAAATGTGTTCACAACACGTATTCATTACTGTCAAGTGAAAACGATGGTTCACTTCGAAATAAACGCGAATTGATTGAGTAGAAATGATAAATCAAACGAATTCCACTGAACACATCTACAACAATAAACGATGTTGTGTGAGAGATCATTTTCGATTAATAAACCACATGGATTACCAAATTGTATTTGATGACGTCCAAATGTTTTCTTTAAATTATTTAATAAAGAATTAATTTATCTTAATCACTATCTGTGAACCACTGTGTATTCATCACATTATTGACTATCATATTCCTATGGATCTAAAATAGCAATTAAGAATAATAATAATAACAGATGATAAAAAATTACCATAAACAGTGCACCGGTATAACATGATTGATTCGACCCGGAACAACTAGAACATCAAAATGAAGTTCACTCATTTCGTTCAGTTATTGCATTTAGTGACATTGAAGTAGAATTTCCGAGTAATAATTAGTTAAATTGAGGGAACACTGTTGGATTGGAATAACGGAATCTCAGAAAATGATTTTGTATGTGTATTGTCGTTTAATCTGAAGGGAAGTACGGGATACAATGGACATTTAGGATGCAGTTGGACGATCTAGACTTCGCAGATGATCTGGCCCTTCTATCCCAAACGCAACAACAAATGCAGGAGAAAACGACCAGTATAGCAGCAGCCTCAGCAGCAGCAGGTCTCAATATACACAAAGGGAAAAGCAAGATTCTCAGATACAACACAGCATGCACCAATCCAGTCACAATTGACGGAGAAGATATGGAAGATGTAAAAACCTTTACATATTTGGGCAGCATCATTGATGAACATGGTGAATCTGATGCAGATGTGAAGGCGCGGATCGGTAAAGCAAGAACAGCATATTTACAACTGAGGAACATCTGGAACTCAAAGCAACTGTCAACCAACACCAAAGTCAGGATTTTCAATACAAATGTCAAGACAGTTCTACTGTATGGGGCAGAAACCTGGAGAGCTACGAAATCCATCATCCAGAAGATACAGGTGTTTATTAACAGCTGTCTACGCAAACTACTTCAGATCCGTTGGCCGGACACTATTAGCAACAAGCTACTGTGGGAGGGAACAAACCAGGTTTCAGCGGAGGAAGAAATCAAGAAGAAACACTGGAAGTGTATAGGGCACACATTGAGGAAAGCACCCAAATGTGTCACAAGGTAAGCCTTCACATGGAATCCTCAAAGCGAAAGGAGGAGAGGAAGACCGAAGAACACATGACGCCGGGAAATGGAAATAGACATGAGAAAAATGAACAAGAATTGGATGGAACTAGAAAAGAAGGCCAAGGACAGAGTGGGTTGGAGAATGCTGGTCGGCGGCCTATGCTCCACTGGGAGTAACAGGTGTAAGTAAGTAAGTAAGTAATTGTCGTTTAGATATTACCGGTCTATTAGGTTTTCTGAAGCTTTTAAAATCAACGCTTCGGAAGTAAAATGTTCTTCTCAGTTGGTTGTATTGAAACATTCATCATATCGTTGAAATAATTATGAGTCTCCTTGCAACTCCTATTAAAATGAACCAGTTTACTTAAATCTTGAAAGAAAGATGATAACTAATGTCTAAACTGATTCTCTGTCGATATTAATTATACATATATAAAACCGCAAATATTTTTACTTCCGTCATTTCAGGGGAATTATTAGCCGTCAGAATGTCTTATTATCCAGATGCTGGTGGTGAAAGTAAGTATCCATAAAATGATTATTTGATTACACATGAAATATTTAAACACCTACACCATCACTCGCAGTACTTGTTTGCACATTTTTTGTTCATTTTACATCACTGAATTCTTTTCAAAAATTGACAAAAGTAATAAAGTGTAACCATCACAGAAAATTAGGAAGGGAGAAACCATCGATTGTTTGAACACATTGATGGAGACCTGAAGGACAATTGACATAATCAGGAGCAAACTAGATTAGACGTGCAATAAATAGATCCGTATGAATAAATTAGGTCATAAACACATTTTACTTGTGGATAAACGAATGTAGAGATACATCTTCGTCAACAGGCTTCAATGCTGCTTGATCAGAAGTCTGTATTCTGAAATAAGTAAATTTGTGTTACTCACCACACGGTCATTCCTAAAAAGTATTCATTCAAATTAAGAAATCACCAAGACGAAAAACCTGAAGCTATTCATTTTCCGTCGTTACCGAACACTGATAAACCAATGACTTACATAACTGACCAAGTTACCATGTTCTATTTGTAAACAAACAAACCATAGCTAATGTCATGTGTACTTAGGGGTGTTTTTTCAGGTGTAATTATAGAGAGTGTTGAACAAATGTCAATAGCTCCTCAACTATCAGATTTAATTGGAAGCTTGATGATTTATTATTTCGATATGGAAACGGCGTTGTAATACAGCCTCGGAGCCTAGTTATCTGACATTTGTATTGAAGAATGCATGCTTGCTTCACTAACACGACGTTCACCAGATTATATTTATTACGAATTCTACCAAAGAAAACATTTGAGATAACGGAGAAAATACCTGCCTAAAACTGATCACTTTGCACGTAGGCACATACACTTTCGCATCCAACAATGACATGCTAATCCCTAATACCTTAAATTTTAAATAACGATAGTCTTCTGCTTGTAGTTCCTGCATTCACTATAACTACTCTGATACAACCGAATGGGAAGATATCAATCTATTATGCGAACGTAAGTTGCAAAATTGAATAGTAATGCAGTATTGTTTGATGTATTTCAGATTGTTATCTTACTTTGAGCAAGTCAACACTGTCGAATGCATCAAGATACATTGAACACGATAGAAGGATATCAACAATTTTTAACGTGCACACAGACTATACGACTCCGTGCTGACACACTTTATTCTAGCACTTTTTGCAAACAATGAATTATAGGAAGTCAAATGTTATCGATAGAAATTCTGACATATTTGAGCCGATTAAGGATAAACAGTGTATTTTATAGTACTTTCCAATACAGTCATTTTCTGTCAAGCTTGACTACGTCTTTTGAAGTTCAGCTAATTGAAAATTTCATTGCCAAATAATCTGCGAGATAAATTGTTAAAGTCTTGATCGTCTCTTAGTGAGTACGTGTTCGAATGTCAGCATTTAGTACTTCACCAATTTGAAATACAACAGATGTGTGGTAACTAGAAAGCGCAAGTGAGATGAAAGATTTCATTTGTGTTGAACTGAATCCACTTTGATTGCTTCGACGTTATCAGGAATTGTATGTAGCAGCATTGCAGTTATTCACTATCACATTTCCGTCAAGTGACGTAGATATTCATCTCACACTGTAGCGCATCATTGCACGATAGATAGATCGGCCATTGGATTTCAGTGAGGTTGACAACTGAAGTGAGTCAGATTATCTTCGTAGACTAGATGAGGCACACTCCTGAGGAAAGTGAGGAAATCAGTATGCTTACTGTGTAACTAGTTGTCTTTGTGTAAAGTGATGTGAATGACGACACCGTCCTTCAGTGATTGGTTGGTTTTGATAAACGTGGTTGTGTGTTGACAAGTCTTTACTCAGACTTCCGTTACTTCTTTTCAGATTCCTAGGGTAGCTAGCAGAATCGAAAGGCCATCGGGAATTTATAAATGGTTAAATTGCGGAGAAACAGGTATTAAATGTTTTTTACATTTTGATTAACACCAACCTACACAAGCAGTCATTTGTGAGCCTAATATTAACTTCTTTATGTACCCTTTGATCATCACGCCAATACAGAACTTTGCTGTATTCTGTCCTAGTGATCTAATATATCTCTCTTACAGTCTACATTATTCAGTAGTTTCGTGTGAGAACAGATTGGTCGAAGTGTCATTAAAGTGTTGATGAAAAAGGTGTGAAATAAAATCTGAATGCTTCTGGTAAACTCACTGTTCGAACAATACTGTTTGTTGAAAATTCAACGAGGATGATGTGTTTTCACATCTTGAAGCGAAGTTTAATATCATATGTGATACTAAATCAAGGTTGAAACTAGTGCTGACAAAACCGCGTGTTTTGACCAAGTCTCTTGAACAGTGAACTACTGAATTCTTCTGAATTGAAATCGAGTATCTATGTCTTCATTTGAACAACCGACAGCCTTGCTAGTGTCACATAAACCATTGTCGTTGTTTTGATGAAATCGTATTGGTGTTGTTTCTGTTTTATATGCTGAATTCTGTAAACAATGAATTTCCCGATTCACGTCTGCTGACTTACGCCTAACCTGGTATACTGAGTAATATAAATATGGTGTGTGAATATCTTCATCATGGATATTCAGAGAATTTGTTCCCATTTTTTAACAGTCGCTCGTTAAACAAAATCTCAGTTATTTTCTTCTGTAAAATTTATTTCACAAGATAAGAAAGTAACTGAAATATATGTTCCTAAAATATGGATCCGAAGTGGAACGTTAGTGGAGTATGAAGCTCTCGGGGGTATGTTAAACCTTATTGTATCAGAAATGATTATTTTCACGGTTGAATACATCAATTTTCGTTTTAAAAAATTGAAAATTTCATGTGCAATTTCAGCAACTAACTAAATGAAATTTGGCTACTAGTATCAAATCACGCTAACCTATACGTGGATTCTCTGTTGATTATTTAAAATGATGAAGGACGGATGTCCTTCACGTCCTCACGTCGATAAAATTCACTTAAGCGTACATAATGTCACAAAACTATGGATGAGATAATATATGTCAGTTAGTTGATTGTGCATTGACTTGGAAGTGTCCATAGTTTTTCAACTTGTTAGATATGATATTGAACTTTCCTGAGTTATTAAAATCGCGGAAACATTTCTCGAAATCGTAATTAACTTGGAAACAATCGCTTACTTTCCAAAATCTATATTTCATCTTGTTCATCCGATGAGTTGGACGTGTAGACAAGTCAGGTGTTCAGATTTCGATATACCATAGGCAGTAGATACTTGTACAGTATCAAAAATACTGAGGATTTTCATGTTAGGTAAGTGTTTCCTTTCTCATTGATATGTATAGTGAGTAATCATAAACACTCTTCAGTTCGTCTTGTGTTGGAGTATTGAAATAACATCACTATGACTGAGAAAACCATTCCATAATCTAATGTTCAGATTGACTCCACTATTCGTTGAATAAAATTTAATTTACTATCGATGAATGTTCATGATCCAACTAGTGTGACATGCTAGCCGACAGCACACAGAGTATAATGTGATCACATAGTTTCAAACATTCCATAGCGATAGGTCGACTGAAATCTCTCCCCGAAAAACGTCAGCGACGAATTGAAAAACAATGTCACTCCTTTGTTTTTCGACCGAATTAACATAATTATAAGTGAATTTATTGTCTGGGGACAAATGAATTTCTTGCACGGATTTCAAAATAGTCAATGTGGGTGAGTTTACAATGTTATTTACCAGTTTTTACATGTTGAAGCGGTATACAAGATACATTTTCATCATCAGACTTGTAGCGGTAAATAAATCCCCAAAATAAATAGCACTAAGTTTTCGACATTGGATGCTGACCATATGTTTTAGTGGACTCACCTAGCTGAAGGCGCTCGGTCAGGCATCCGCACCAGATCACGTGTGGTAACGCCGTGCTCAACATCAACCACAATCGCTAGCCAGATTAGATCAGAGAATTCCGACATCATCAGACTGATATCAGTGAATGAAACTCTAAATGTGTTAGAAATGAAATGCAGTGGGCTTTGTTGAACCAGATGACAGCATAGTGTATACATTTCTGAATGCGAACAGTTATCAACATCTACCAAATCCACACGTCAATACTCATCGTTGAACATTCAACCTTGTTTCATTCAGTTCCGAGTTGTTGTCGTGAAAAGTGAATGACATGGTATGAACGAGTCCTCATTCTCATGAATATGTACATTGAGTAATCACAAAGAATTTTGATTTTATCATGTGATAGGGTATTAAAATAGCATCTCGACAACTAAGAGAATCATTCCATAATGTTATGTTTAGATCGACTTTAATATTCATTGAATAAAATGTTACTGATTATGTATGTATTTTCATTCAAAGCCAAAATGTTGTCGTGAAATATGGATGTCAAAGAAAGTGTGCTGAATTTTGAATTGCGCGAGGTGACGACAAATTCTTAGTGAATGAAACAGTCGCCTAATTTCGAAATCATCTTATCATATCATTGAGTTATAGTTATATTTTTCCTAATTCACTTATCCTTTGTTTAATAACTTGTTATGCAATCACCCTATTTTTTCCACTGAAGATTGTCCGAAATACGATTCGACTGAAGCATGTCATGGATCAACACCACCGAAAACAAGGTGTATATGGTGTGAAACAGCCAATATGTGCATTACCAGAAGTGATGAGGATACTTATGAATTCAAAGTAAATGGTTGCAAGAATAAAGTAAGTGATTGATAGACTTCACACATTGTTTTCAATATTACCATATTCTACATTGTGAATCTGTTTACTTACTCGGAAGAACATTTTTTTGTTGCAAACGAGTAGTGTATTGTATACATTCATGATGTTTAATCAGATATGAGTACGATGCTATGTTTCCATGTGGACATTCAACAACCAATAGAAGCGTCGTTTAACACTTGTACTTGAAAAATGGTGTTTCTCCTGCTCATAGAATGTGTAGTTATTCTCGATGTCCAATATGAAACCGTCTGTATGTGTGGATTCTTACAAAATGCCTATGAGATCAGTTTGAATGATGAAGCATAATCTGTCATAAATTCTGCATCATGTTTGGAAAGTGAAAGTTCGTGGACTCACATTGTTGAATGTGAGAACAAATATTCCTGATACCCTGTTGAGAAATTTGTGTTTTGGATGGATTGCTTCAATAAAGACGTCAGTTATTGGTTTGTTATTAATTATTTACATTGTGATAAGCTGAACCATCTGGTGAACTAATTTCATCACACGAAATAGTTGTCGGTTAGTTGTAGGATAATGTGTACTCATCACATTGACCGTCAAATCAGTAGCAGATATCCTAAATCATTATTCATTGATCCAGCAACTACTGAAACTGATCTAATAAATGAATTGAAGAAGACTAGTGGAAGCACTGAATCACATTTGGTAAATATTTGATATTTTCTAATCATTATACTATTTCGTTGATTTCAGAACATCGATACAGATACAACAACTCTAGCAACTATTGAAACTGATCGAATAAATGAATTGAAGAAGACTAGTGGAAGCACTGAATCACATTTGGTAAATATTTGATATTTTCTAATCATTATACTATTTCGTTGATTTCAGAACATCGATACAGATACAACAACTCTAACAACTACTGAAACTGATCTAATAAATGAATTGAAGAAGACTAGTGGAAGCACTGAATCACATTTGGTAAATATTTGATATTTTTTAATTATTATACTATTCCTTTCATTTCAGAACATCGATACAGATAAAACAACATCTGAAGACACTGAGGATGGAATACTACTGGAATACTTTTACTTCAATTACCATATCTTACGTCGTTCCGCATTGTTTTTATGGTCTTTGGTATTCGGCTATAATGCTACATAAGTAGGCGAGTATATCAATATTTCCCACAGACAGCTTGTCACTTGTTTTCATCAAGTTGACTTTTTTATTTTTATTTTTTAGTTTAGTAAACACACTTTCAATTTTTTTAATCATTTCAATACATTGAAGATTGTTTCATGGAACTGCATATCACATTGATGATTGTTTACGTAATGACTGATGTCACTTTGTTGGTAGAATATAAAAATATAATTTTTTGTATTTATGTCATTGTTTTCATCCAATAAAAAAAACATGGGTAATTTCACACGAGGTTACAACATTGCACTTGTCAATTAACAGTATCGTGTATACGTGATTATGTGACCATTGAAATCAAAACTGAGTCCGTTGTAAATGTCCATTTTGTTAAAGTCTCAATACTAAGAAATATCATTCGAAATTGACGTCGTTCATTGTTTTAAACTAAACTGTTGGAATGCGGCACCAATATTTAACTAAGCACCTCAATCCTTCCTTATTTGACTATTCACTGTTATTGTTTAGGTGTTATGAATGTGTTGAATATGGAATAATTTTAGACGGTCCGGCTGATACTCAAATAGGAATGAAAAAAGATGTAGAGTGAATGATGAACTAGTAACAGATCTGCCGTAGCATTGGCAATAAGATGAGAGATTTGGAAAGAAGAAAACACTGAAGTGTTCGCGTCAATGATTGATCACATTATTAAACAAAACTTGGCTGATAATCGGTCCTATTCTCATGGATTTGTGAGAAACTAGTCGACCAAGAATCATTTGCATTAGATGTTGGAATGTTCTCGTTAATGTTTAAGACTGAAAAGTGTTCAGTCTTTTCATGTTATACGCAAATCATGTGCGAATCGCAAGAATATTGTCATAAGGTCACAATGTAATATATATTAAGGTGAACACAGGCATGATAAATATTTGTCCTGTGGTAGTCTGCATTCCCAAAATTCATTTCTTCTCCGTGATGCTGAATGCTTAAAATGTGACAAGAATTGGCAGATTATGATGGCATGTTAAACTACTATTCATTTCATTAATGATGATTCCAAACCCCGTTATTAAATCTTAATAAAATTGGAGCATTTGATGATAATAATCCACATCTATTCATGATATTTAAGGTTTCATTTCCACACAAAAGGGCAATTATATACCTTTTTTGGTTCATTCCATAATTCGATTGTTGACAAACGCAGTATACAGTTTCCTTATTTTATACAAAATTTTGACTTTATAAAGTCACAAAGTGAACCTGCCTTCAGTAGCTTTCAAAGAAGATTCCGATGCTCTGATTGAATATTTCGTGACTGATTGCGTTAAGTTCTGTGAATGAATAAGAATTCATTCCTCAACGTTTAATTCCCGTTTGCTGAAGCTAACGCATAACACTGGTGATGCTGGAGATATTTGTAGTCAAGCTCATTGTTCTAAAGTGTACAGTGAAGCTGATTTGAAGTACGTCTTTCTTCGGATTCGTCTGGATAGAAGTCTATCAGATTTGACAACAACTATCACTCTTCGTGGTCTATTCAAATATAATTACCTTCCATTTGGTTTAATTTGTTCTACAGCCATATTTCATGAAGTGGTTCATAATGTGGTCAGTGATCTTAAAAGTGTTGACGTTTGTCCAGATGACCTCAATCTTGATAGTTTTCATAAAATATCTCACGGTCAGTGACGTGCTACTTTCTTCGTAGTCTGCTTGAGAAAAAATTGTTGTTAAGTCAAATGAAGGTTTATTTTATGTGATTGGTCTGAAACTTTGATTTCCGGTATGCTTTATCAGGATCGATGGGTTATCCACCACACCTGATGGAATCTGACTAATTAAGCTGATCCTTAGAGTTTCTAGACTGTGCTGCCAGTAAGTGTTTTATATTAAAGGTTTCTACGTCATATCAGGATTTGAGTTTAGGGATGATCAACCAGCAAAAATAATAAAAAAGAGGTAAACTTCATTCAGCATTTATTGGAAAACCAAATTTAGTTTTATCTTGCTCTCGGTTTTATAAAATGTTTGCAACTACTGAAAAATGTGCATGTTCCTTTATCTTTCCTATCACTCCAGTTTATAGTTGTTTACATCACTGAATTTAATTGCTCATTCACTTCTTCACAATCAGGATGTAGGTCATCATCGTTTTGTAATCTGCATCGATAATCATTGTTTACTCGATTTGGGTGGGAATTATGTGAACTTCTCTCCTAAATCAAAGTCACACCTTCCTGTTAATTAGTATCGTGGACCAGTCTTTGGTGGTATCTAGGCACTGTGGCTGTAGTGAGTGAGAGCTCAGGTGTGAATGATCAGTTTATTGTTAGTTTCAGAATCACAGAGTGTCTTCATATAATATAAAAACCATACATTCGACACTTCACTTGCATGTCTTCCGTCAGTTGATTCTTAATACTACTTCATTGTTCTTTCATTCCAGATGAGTTCAACTGTGTTCAGTGTGAGGCAGTTACCTACCAAAAACAATCCTAGATGGTCGCGCAATGTCGTGAAGTGGTTGAAGTTAGACGTGAACACCGTTGGATGCTACTTAGTGGCAAGAGTCTAAACGTTCGCGCAAGACTTAAGGTCTTAGATTCGATTTCTGCTTTCATGATTGTCGATAGGTACTGTTGTGGGGTCTTGTAATACAACAAACAGGCTGCTGAGTGATTCCGGGTTTTTAATACAGTTCTAACATTTGTTGGTCCATAATTTCAATCAAAAATCATATATCCTGGAATGCATCCAGTTTCATTGACAAAGCGTCTCACATTGTGTTTAGTGTAGTCATTTTTATAGAATAAGTGAATAATTAAAAATTTCGTTTCATGATGATTCTTACGGTGATATTTTGGTTTGAATTTTCATCCATACCACTGACTGTGAAATATTTTATCTGTAAATACTGTGGAAATATTTCCGCAGTAAGTTACTCGTGAAGTTCACATTGTGTTGACTAGAACAACTTTGCTTCGTTCTTCAAAAAGCTGTCAAGTAAAGTACATTAACAATTCGTTGATCGGTCAGTATAAAGTCAGGCACCATCGAACGCTAACATCAGCCTATTCAACTTTTTCAGTTCTTTTATAAGTACAACGAGTTTAAGGTTTTACAGTTACTTCATCAATGGAAGTTTGTTCAAAGCATAACATTATTCTCAGACTGATATACACATTCACATATGGTGAGTGATATTCTAGCACATTCTAACGACGGATATTAACATTGGACAACATATCTCATAATGATGAAATAACCGCTTCCATAATGAGCACTCAGATCATCATTCTTACTGTGAAATAACTGGTTTTGTAAAGTATAATACCTTTTATCCCTACAGTTTAAATAAACGTTTTTAAACTGATTACTTTTGCTCTTAACTCATCTCTTTATCAAACGTTGATTTTAAAAAGAATAATTCGTTTACACAACATTTGTCACTGATGTTTTGAATGGAATAATACCTCCTGTAAGATCCATTTTGAAGGTTTTGTGTATGTGTGAAAATCCTTCCATGTATACATTTGTAGTTTGTTCCTATTGTTGTTCCTTTAGTTGTACATTTTTGTTATCCTTTCTCATTCCATTTGAGTTAGTCATATTTGTATTTTACTATAGTTGTTATTTTTCTTACGCCTTCACTAAGCTTTCACGTTCCTTCCTGAATTGCATTTATGTTGGTTTGTTCCTCCTTTTGATTGTGCTGCTTGTATTGACTAGAATTGTACATTACTGACTGTGAATTGTGGCACACTTGCAGAATTGAAAGCATTCTGTGTTATAAAGCAACCAAATAATGTGTTTTCAATGAATCTATGCGTGATCTAGCCAGACAGGATGGAATAACACTGATTTGTTGCGATTGGTAATTTTCTCTCATCCTTTATCAACTTCCTTATTTATTGTAATTTATATTTGATTCATTGAACAATTATTGGCTGAGTAGCTGGGTGGTCATATTTGTTTAGGTAATAGTGTACATTTAAATTTGTAATAAATTTCAGAACTGTCATTTTACCCAATCACATTGTTTTGCTTTCAACCGGGCAAGGGCGCATATCTAACCCACCTAGACAGCTATATTTCAGTCCAAACCTTAGTTTGCATCTAACGTCTCCAAGATTTTGTACGTTAATTAAAATGAAGTATCGTTCAAATTAATAAAACAAAATTTATGTACCAGAAAATTTACGAAGTTATAGAAGGTTGTTAACGTCATTCAGATTTTCTCTAAATGGAGTGTTAGCGTTAATAATGGCATCAAATGATGGAATATATATGAGACTTTTCTTTTCCTAACAAAACTTTAAACAGCATTATAATATTGTCAGAGTGGGTATCCGTTGAGATTGCAGTAATTTTAACATTGGGATTCATGAGTATTATACTAAACGGCCGTCCGGTGGTTCCAGTTTTTAAAGGTGGCCTAGCCCAGATTGATACATGGATTCAAGCATTGTCGCATTCACTACAGTAGTTTAACTTCACACCACCAGAGAGATACACTCCATGTTTTGCGCTTATCCTTATCATAAAATATGAAGTTAGTTGAACAATACAACTGAGATGGTAAATGATTGGAGTGTTTATTCATAGCTGGAGCAAGAGCATCTATGAATTGACAACCAGAAAATTTGTTTTCACTTCATCTTTTTTTTAGAAAAGTAGTAATAATTTGTAAAATGAGAGTTTCACTCATCTTTGATGTTTGAGGGCAGGTGATTATCGGCCAAATAAACAACATATTATTAGAAAACGATGTTGTTTTATTCTAACCAACATTTATATAACGCTCACTAAACAGAATATCATATTTATTGATTAGTTGAGATGGAATGAAGTGATAAATGATAACAAAGTATAATCAGAGCTGATTCTATAAACAATTAGCCAATATGTGCTTTTTATCGTTTCAGACATTTATATAGTTATAACAGTCCCGCAGTAATACGCATCCACAAACTCGGTCACGCGTGCAAATCTGTGGTGTTTGAATGAACCAA